GTGTTGAATCAAGAAATCACTTAAATAGAATGTGTCAGACAAAGTGAAGTAGGCTACAAGATCAGAGCATCATGCCACGATCCAAAGAAATTCAAGAAGAAATGAGAAAAAAAGTGATGGACATCTATCAGTCTGGAAAAGGTTACAAAGCCATTTCCAAGGCTTTGGGGCTCCAGCGAACCACTGTCAGAGCCATTATCCACAAATGGAGAGAACTGGGAACAGTGGCAAACCTTCCCCGGAGTGGTCGGCCAGCTAAAATTACTCCAAGAGTGCGACGACGACTGATCCAGGAGGTCACAAAAGAACCTAGAAAAACATTGAAAGAACTGCAGGCCTCGCTTGCCTCAGTTAAGGTCAGTGTTCATGACTCTACTGTAAGAAAAACACTGGCCAAAGCTGGCATCCATGGCAGAGTTCCGAGGCGAAAACCATTGCTGTCCACAAAGAACACAAAGGCTTGTCTAACATTTGCCAAAACACATCTTGATGATCCTCAAGACTTTTGGAAGAACATTCTGTGGACTGATGAGTCAAAAGTTGAACTTATTGGAAGGTGTGCGGCCCGTTACATCTGGCGAAGAAATGGCACAGCATTCCATCAAAAGAACACTATACCAACAGTGAAGCATGGTGATGACAGTGTGATGGTCTGGGGCTGCTTTGCTGCCTCAGGACCAGGACGACTTGCTGTAATTGATGGAAGAATGAATTCTACTGTCTACCAGCAAATCTTGAAGGAGAACGTCCGGCCATCAGTTTGTGCGCTCAAACTCCAGCGCTCTTGGAGCATGCAGCAGGACAACGATCCAAAACACACCAGCAGGTCCACCTCTGCATGGCTCAAAAAAACCAAAATTAAGGTTTTGGAGTGACCAAGTCAAAGTCCGGATTTAAATCCTATCGAAATGCTGTGGTGTGATCTTAAACGGACCGTTCATGTTAGAAAACCCTCTAATATTGCAGAATTGAAACAATTCTGCAAAGAAGAGTGGGCCAAAATTCCTCCAAAGCGTTGTGAAAGACTCATCACCAGTTATCGTAAACGCTTGATTTCAGTTATTGCTGCCAAAGGTGGCACAACCCGTTATTAGGTTCAGGGGGCAATTACTTTTTCACAGAGGGCCAGACAAGTTTGTAATTTTTTCTCCCTTGGTAAATAAAATCATCATTTAGAAACTACATTTTCTATTTCCTTGGGTTGTCTCTGTGTCATACTAAAATTGGTTTGATGATCTGAAACCTTTGTGTGTGATAAATATGGAAAAAACACAGAAATCAGGAAGGGGGCAAATACTTTTTCACGGCACTGTAAGTCACCCTGTTTTCCTCTTTCTTTTGGAAATAGGTGTTTACCACAGCCATTTCCATTCTCTTTGTGGAATCTGCCTGTCCTTCCAAGTTTCTATCCCTAACACCAATCCTGCCCATCACTTCCTCATCTTCTCTGTTCCTCTTCCCCTACATGACCATTAAAGTCTGCTCCATTCACCACTCTCTCTCCCCTGGGGATGCTCTCCAACACCCAATCCACAGCTCATTCCAGAAATTCTCCTTTTCTTCCAACTCACAGCCCACCTGTGGGGCATAACCACTAACAACAGTCATCATCACTCATTCTATTTCTACCTCACACACATCAACCTGTCTGACTCTCGTTTCACATCCACCACATTTCTTGCATATTCTTTCTTTAGGATCACCCCTACTCTATTTCTCTTCCCAGCCGAACCATGGTAAAACAGTTTGTAGCCTCCTCCAAAGTTTCAAGCCTTGCTGCCCTTCCACCTGGTCTCCTGCACACACAAAATGTCTACTCTTCTTCTCTCCATAATATCAGCTAGTTCTCTACTTTTCCCTGTAATTGTATCTACATTTAGAGTTCCAAACTTCAAACCAACGCTTCTATCCTTCCTCTTATCTCTTTTTCTCTGAATCAATCGCCCTCCTCTTCTTCTTTGTCTTCGACCAACAGTCTTTAGGATCACCCCTACTCTATTTCTCTTCCCATCCGAACCATGGTAAAACGGTTTGTAGCCTCCTCCAAAGTTTCAAGCCTTGCTGCCCTTCCACCTGGTCTCCTGCACACACAAAATGTCTACTCTTCTTCTCTCCATAATATCAGCTAGTTCTCTACTTTTCCCTGTAATTGTATCTACATTTAGAGTTCCAAACTTCAGACCAACACTTCTATCCTTCCTCTTATCTCTTTTTCTCTGAATCAATCGCCCTCCTCTTCTTCTTTGTTTTCGACCAACAGTAGCCCAATTTCCATCAGTACCCTGTTGGTCAACAGCACTGTTGGCAGTCATTGTTAACCCAGGCCCCGACCGATCCAGTATGGAAAATGTTTTTGTTGTACGCATACTTGATTTAGCCAAGGGTTTTACACCGGATGCCCTTCCTGACGCACCCCTCACCATCTATCCGGGCTTGGGACCAGCACTATAGAAACACTGGCTTGTGCACCCTAGTGGTTTAGCTGTATTCTAAAGCATTTGCCTTTAAATAAAAAAAATCTTTTTATCTTCAGTTGGCCGTGTCATCTCATGAAAATGCTACTCCTGTGAAGCTGATCCATAACTCTGCAGGTCACCTCAATGGTCCTGCCCGCACGATTGGAGCAGCAGTGATTGGATACTTGGGTAAATATTGCAATAGTCTAGATCTTAGACCACCATGCCATCCCATCAGACCTCCGTTTGACAGTCACAGTTGTGATGTCTTCTCTTCTTGTTCAGGTGTGCGAACCTTCATACCTAGACCTGTAGCCACAAACCTGCAGTTTGTAGGTGGGGCAGCGGCCATTTTGGGTCTGGTCGCCATGGCATCAGATGTGGAGGGTCTGTATGCAGCAGTCAAAGCTCTGGTTTGTGTTGTCAAAAGCAACCCGCTGGCCAGTAAGGAGATGGAGCGCATCAAAGGTTACCAGGTCAGACAAATATTTTGTCACTTCCTGTTTTCATTTTTTTTACCTACTGTTCATCTCTGACATGTTTTCATTTGTGCTAATTTATACAGCTACTGGCCATGCTTCTAAAGAAGAAACGCTCATTGCTCAACAGCCATATCCTCCACCTGACATTCTCACTGGTGGGGACGGTGGACAGTGGCCATGAGACATCCATCATCCCCAACTGTGCTGCCTTCCAGGACCTGCTCTGTGACTTTGAAGTAAAGGAACATTAAAAATTTAAGTCTGTTGTTTGTTATTTTACTCAAGCCTTTATTTAACATACATGTGTTTGTCTCCTCAGGTTTGGCTCCACGCTCCCTACGAACTGCATCTGTCTCTGTTTGAGCACTTTATTGAGCTGCTGACTGAGTCCAGGTCAATCTACAATTCTCTGTATCAATGGTGATTTTTGTCTGTTGTGTTTCATGGTTCTGACCTAACTTTCTTTTTTAGTGAGGCAGCAAAAAACGCCAAACTGCTGCGAGAGTGTCAGATGATTCCACGACTGCTGCTGACGCTGAGAGACACCACGCTGTCTCAGCAGACTGTCGCTGCCATCAGCAATGTGTTGAGTCTACTTCTGCAGGGCTTCACCAACGTGCACGACCTACTCAGGTACGTTCTTATATTACTGTTTCTTAAACTGTGTATGTTTTTTAGTGCTCCGTCATGCACTCACCTGCACTGCCGGTCATCAACTTTCAGGTTTGGCCAGTTCATCTCCTCCACTCTTCCCACATTTGCTGTCTGTGAGAAGTTTGTGGTGATGGAAATTAACAATGAAGAGAAGATCGACGGAGGTAAAAATAGACATAGAACTTCTTTTATTGACTGCACAAGAAAAAGTTGTAGAGGTGAGAGGTCACTGCAGTAACAGACTTTGTCCTCCCTGCAGGAAACGATGAAGACTTTGGAGGTCTTTTTTCTGCCAACTTAATTTTGCTAAGAAACCGGCTGTTAGAGAATCTGCTGCTTCTGCTCTTCACCAGCAAAGACAAGAATGGCAGTCGAGGTGGCAGCAGTGTCAACACTCAGTGAGTTCATTAATTAAATAATGTATTTACATCAATTGTTGTCCAATCATTGCTTTATAAAACACAAATGAAACCCCTCTTAGTTAAAAAAACAATAATGAGTTAACTTTCTCTTTGTCTCCCCCTGCAGGGCGTGTGAAGAGCTTGTTCGTACTCTGGGCTTTGATTGGCTTTTGATGTTTATGGAGGAGCACCTCCATCCCAGTACAGTGACATTGGCTCTGTGGATCATGGTGGTTCTTCTGTCCAACCAGTCCGTCCTCAACCGTTTTAAAGAGGGAGTCTGTGGTGGTGGCTGGCTAGACCACACTGACGCTGTACTGACCAATAAGATTGGTACCGTGCTGGGTGAGTGTAGAATGGAGGTTGTATGTAAAAGATTTTTTTTGTTGTCAGATTCTTCATTTTGAATCCAACTAGAAATGTGGTTACCAGGATTCAAACTCTCCTGGGGATCCTATTGTTTCCCATTTCATGTTATGGAGATTTAACATACTGCTGTATTGAAATCTCTCTACTACTGTATGCCTTACTCTGACGTCTTCATCTCCCTCATCTTGGCTTTCAACAGGTTTCAATGTCGGACGCAGTGCTGGTAGTAAAGGAACATTAAAAATTTAAGTCTGTTGTTTGTTATTTTACTCAAGCCTTTATTTAACATACATGTGTTTGTCTCCTCAGGTTTGGCTCCACGCTCCCTACGAACTGCATCTGTCTCTGTTTGAGCACTTTATTGAGCTGCTGACTGAGTCCAGGTCAATCTACAATTCTCTGTATCAATGGTGATTTTTGTCTGTTGTGTTTCATGGTTCTGACCTAACTTTCTTTTTTAGTGAGGCAGCAAAAAACGCCAAACTGCTGCGAGAGTGTCAGATGATTCCACGACTGCTGCTGACGCTGAGAGACACCACGCTGTCTCAGCAGACTGTCGCTGCCATCAGCAATGTGTTGAGTCTACTTCTGCAGGGCTTCACCAACGTGCACGACCTACTCAGGTACGTTCTTATATTACTGTTTCTTAAACTGTGTATGTTTTTTAGTGCTCCGTCATGCACTCACCTGCACTGCCGGTCATCAACTTTCAGGTTTGGCCAGTTCATCTCCTCCACTCTTCCCACATTTGCTGTCTGTGAGAAGTTTGTGGTGATGGAAATTAACAATGAAGAGAAGATCGACGGAGGTAAAAATAGACATAGAACTTCTTTTATTGACTGCACAAGAAAAAGTTGTAGAGGTGAGAGGTCACTGCAGTAACAGACTTTGTCCTCCCTGCAGGAAACGATGAAGACTTTGGAGGTCTTTTTTCTGCCAACTTAATTTTGCTAAGAAACCGGCTGTTAGAGAATCTGCTGCTTCTGCTCTTCACCAGCAAAGACAAGAATGGCAGTCGAGGTGGCAGCAGTGTCAACACTCAGTGAGTTCATTAATTAAATAATGTATTTACATCAATTGTTGTCCAATCATTGCTTTATAAAACACAAATGAAACCCCTCTTAGTTAAAAAAACAATAATGAGTTAACTTTCTCTTTGTCTCCCCCTGCAGGGCGTGTGAAGAGCTTGTTCGTACTCTGGGCTTTGATTGGCTTTTGATGTTTATGGAGGAGCACCTCCATCCCAGTACAGTGACATTGGCTCTGTGGATCATGGTGGTTCTTCTGTCCAACCAGTCCGTCCTCAACCGTTTTAAAGAGGGAGTCTGTGGTGGTGGCTGGCTAGACCACACTGACGCTGTACTGACCAATAAGATTGGTACCGTGCTGGGTGAGTGTAGAATGGAGGTTGTATGTAAAAGATTTTTTTTGTTGTCAGATTCTTCATTTTGAATCCAACTAGAAATGTGGTTACCAGGATTCAAACTCTCCTGGGGATCCTATTGTTTCCCATTTCATGTTATGGAGATTTAACATACTGCTGTATTGAAATCTCTCTACTACTGTATGCCTTACTCTGACGTCTTCATCTCCCTCATCTTGGCTTTCAACAGGTTTCAATGTCGGACGCAGTGCTGGTGGACGCTCCACACTGCGAGAAATCAACCGGGATGCCTGTCACTTCCCAGGATTTCCAGTGCTGCAGACACTGCTGCCCAAACACACTAACGTTCCAGAGCTTTACTTCCTGCTCATGGCGCTGTTCCTGCAGCAACCAATCACGGAGCTGCCGGACAGCCTGCAGGTACATGTTAGTAAACTCAACTTCTTCTGTATCCTCTCTTAGCTTTTTTGTTCCATAAATATTAACAGAATCAGAAATCAGAATCAGAAACGTTTTTATTGCCAGGTAGGTTTACACCTACGAGGAATTTGTTGTGGCATACAGTGCAGCGAAAGAAATGTACATGGAGGTATACAATTGTTCATAAATAGATTGTGCCTATGGGTGGACATATACAGAATAATAAGAATATACAACATTTTTAAAGTGCGTGCGTGCGTGCGTGCGTGTGTTGTGTTGTGTTGTGGTAAGGTTTTACCACC